GGACACGAGAGAAACACACCGAAATAGACACAGATAACAACACAAAGAGTGAGGAAGAGCAAGACAGACAAGTCAAAGACCTGACTGCGTGCACACACACACACACACACACACACGTAACCAGAACTTTGTCTGCCTTAAGGAACGATACACTGTAAAATACTTGAATTTTAGCTACAAAAAAAATCACAAGTTGTTCTGATTTCTTACAATTAATGTAAATATAAATAATTATATTTCAGTGTCTAAATCCATTGTTTCACTTAAATTATTAATGGGAAAATATTTTGTAAACACGAAAAAAAAATCTACAAAAGCAAAATATATTTTTAAAAAAATGTTTTACCATGAATTAAGATGAACTAAAAAAAAAAGATTAATGATTAATCAGTCTAATCTATCAGCTTCCCTGTGATTTATCAGATTTGAATTATATTATATTTGTTGTGCCGTACAGTCTGTAAACTAAAGGCTACAACAGTGACATCATGAGGAGCCTGGAGACAGGAAGTGCACGTGTGAAAGTGGGTTTAGAAATAACTTTTTAAAACTACTCTAGGCTAGAATTTCACAACAGCCATGACGCATGTGGCGCTAACAACACCTGCTCCGAGGCAGCGGATCATTTACGGCGCAGGCAGAACCCGAGTGTTTATCAGAAAATCAGTAAATCCTGTTTTTAAGACGACGCGACTACAAAAAAACAAACAAACAAAAAAAAAACTATTCTGTAATTGAGTGAGAACAGAAACGGAATGTTGGTTCATAATCCCACAGTCTGTCCCCGCCTCCATCATCCTGACAGACGTGAAGTGAACCACAGCTTCCTGTTCAGGCCTCCCTCACTACAGACCAACAGGAACGAGGGGGAGACTGAGAGAGAGGGGGGAGGATGGAGGATGGAGAGGGGGGGGAGTATGTGCAGACATTAGACAGGAGCATGTTCGGTCATCAGATAAAGCTATTTTAGGAAAGACGCTGTCAATGTGTCTTCAAACAGCATGTAATCTGCAGTGATCAGACGAGAGCCACACGGAGCTGAAACTGACTTCCAGGATAGAATAAAGGTTCGCAAGTTTGAGAAAAAATAATTAAATTAAATTAAAAAAAGAGGAAGAAAACAAACAAACGTGATGTGAAGCTGATGAACACAGTCTTCATTCAAATCATGCCTGGTATCCGGGCTGCTGTGTAAACGTGTCCCACGAGAGGCGTGAGTGTTGTATTT